CGATTGATTCCTGATACCGGGCGGTTGAGACCAGCAGCCCCCGAGCGCTAGGAGGGAAACGGGGAAAAGGCGCCTTAGGGAGGGCTCCCCTCTCTGCCCCGCGTCTCGCCCACAGAGCACAAAAAGCTACGTGTATTTTCACCACGATTCCCTCCGGTATTGGTCAGAAGGGACTTTTCCTCCGGAACATGCTTGAAATCCCTCCATTTCTTTTCTCTCTCTTTTTTTTTCTCCTTTTTTTTTTCCTCCAATATTATTGAATCGTTAAGTCATCTGAAATATTTGCTCAAACGTGGAAGCTATTTTTTTTTGCATTCAGATTGCAAAAGCATGTTGAGCATTATATTTTTCCTTACATTTAATACAACAGAGGCGGCTTCCTCCTTCCCTTGAGCGCTTCCCCATCCCCCACAATTGCTAATATAGATAGCCCCGCGCTTGGGGGGAGGGGAGAGAAATTGGTCAAGAAAAGCTGTTTCTCCGTATCTGTCAGTGCCAGGGCCTGTTTCTCCCACCCTTGCAAAAGCATGCTCATGTTACCATGTTCCACCTTAATCATTGCTCAGTGGTCCCTACCTCCTCTGGTAATTTAGGTGTACAAATGAGCACGCTGGCAATACCCTTGCATTGCCCCCCTCCCTGCTGTGCTGCAAGATATCTGGCTGCATCAGTGCCTCTTGCAGGCATTGTACGTGTCCTGAGCATATTGCTTGCATTTAGGACAAGAAATAGTCGATGGGGTGTCTCAAAGTAATTTGTTCTATTTAGCGGAATAGAAACAATGTAGGTGATCCAGTCATTTTTTTTTCCGCCAGGCTGTATGTAGCATAAAACAGCCTATTCCGAGAGAGTCTCCTGTAGATATAGTGTTGGCTACTCACATCCTTACTTGTTTGATTTAGGCGCTAGAGGGTCAGTTAGATAAAAACTTAAAATTTATACTTATTGGTACGAATGAAGAAAGATACTAACATTTCTTTAAAAGAAATAAAGATTTGTGATGCAATTTATGTAGCCTTGTATTAACGCTGCTGCTGTTGTTGCAGGATATGAACAAAGTAATGAAAGCAAACCTTGACCGCTCCTTCAAAATGAAATATGATTTTAATTGCACCTCACTTCATACTGGCTTCACACTGTCAAAATCTACTGTGGAAAAAAGAAGCCTGGGAAACTCCTGCCCCTTGAGCTATGAAGAGGGGTTTTGTAAAGACTGTGCCAAAGAGCATCAAAAAGTTTCTGCTAGTGAATCATACCACACAGTCCCCAGAAATTTAGATCTTGAAGATGAAGGAAAGCCTGTACATAACAAGGAAAACAAACAAGTAACCCAGAGACTTGATGAAGGTATCTATGAAATGGAGGCACTGGATAGTAGTAAGTTTAATGATGACAGTGGTTACTCCTCTATGTTAAGCAACCAGTACAGCGATCCAGCGGAACATGAGGACAGCATACCCTTGGCTGGCAATCTCTGTGGCACACCAAAGCACTGTCTTATGAAGAACCAAAGCCAAGTACCGTTCTCAAAGACTTTGTTGCCAGTAATCCATTATGAAAAAATGATTTGCTCAACTTTGAAAAAAAATGGTAAAAGAAATCTCAGGTCTCGAACTGCAATAGACAAGATTGTTTTTAGGGGAAAGTTTGAACTTCATAACCTAATTGGAAAGAAAATGGGGTTAGACAGAATAGATATTCTTGCTGAACTCTTCCAAAAGAACCTGAAGCACGTTTTAGCAAGCATCTTAAGGCATCTTGATGAAATGGATTTAATAAAGTGAGTATATTGTTCTTCTAGGTATTTTATTGGGAAAGCAAACAACCTAATCAGATGGCTTAAGAATATTTTAAATATGAGGCTTGTAACATTTTCTCAATGTATATTATTATATTATCACCTACCCACAAAATTGTTTCTGCTGCTGAATAATACTCTTTTACCCTCTCCTGGAAGACAACTGACCCTTCTGTATTTTCATTACAGTGTTGCCAAAGTCAGCACAACGTGGAAGAAGATTCTACATGATGACAAACGGGCTTTCCAAAAATATAATGAAGCTGTGAGAAACATTTCTGTAAGTTTTTGCACTTGGTGATATTTTTAGCATAAATCAGTGGTGTTTTTCTGTTATTTCATGATTATTTGTAGCCTTAAGCAATCACAAAGGAGACCTTTGGTTGCAAGCAGTTTCACTGGAGTGTTTGAATATATCCTATTAGGATGCCCTGTCTTAAGCATTTCAAATCACTAAGTCTTTAGTGCCTCAGCTATTTTGAAGTCTCGGGATAGTTTCTGAAAAGGTTACCCAAGGAGATGGGTAGCCTTTCCCTTCCACATGTCCTGTATTACAAAGGAGATGGAGCACCAGCTCCAGCACTGCCTCCCGGATAAGCTAAGATGCCTCTCAGGATATGACCCGCTTCTTCAGCATGGCCACACATCCAGAACGGAGAAAGTATATGAGAAACTAACCAGACAACAGCAGGATTTGGATCTTGTGCCTTCCGGCAGCGGTTTCTGAAGTACAATGTCAGCTACAGATAATTGAAAAGCCTTTGCAAATAAGCCCCTCCTAATGACCGGCATATTTCTTGTATAGAAGGAGATCCAGCTACCCTAGCATTACACTTACCAAGGCAGGACTCTTCTGAGGCACTAGAAGTGTTTTTTGTTTGTTTTGTTCTTGTAATGGAAAGACAATGAAACCAACAGAATGCTGCCAGAACGGGGTCACTAACTCAGCTTTACATAGTTCTTTATGATCCTAATCTGTATGAAACAGCTAGACTCCACTGATATGAGTATTCATTCTGTTAGGTTTGATTCTTTTCTGCATTGTACATTGTTTAGCTTGGAAAATCAGAGAGAAGGGAGGAATTGACTCCTCAGAAGGAAAAGGTGTAAGCATTCATCTTCATCATGAAGAAATAGTTTTGCTTTGCACTTTAAAACGCTGCAGTGACTCAATTGGATGTTTTGTCTGAACGATTTTGATGTGTTAATGTGAAAGCAAATTTCAGTGCATAATAGAAGATAATTAGTTTTCATGGTCTGAACCAGAGGTTCTCTCTATACATTTACAGTAGTAGTTGCTGAGTAAACTGAGGTTAAATTGGTAGTATACTATCTGCTGTGGCACTTAATTACTAGAAACCCCCTAGCCAGAGGAGGAATTAAAGATATTTTTTTAGTTCATACTAGATAAAAAGTAATTTCATATTCTATAAGCAGGTAGCTGATCTGACTTTATGCTTTTCTTTCTGTTAGGATGGCAGCAAAACATCAGAGCATGCTGGAACAAGGGAATATGTTATCTACCGAACAGCTTTAGCTACTGTTCAGAAAGCTACCCAACCAAACTTTGGTAAAAAAGGCAACAGATCCAAAACATCTAAGAATCACAGCAGGCTTATTGAGTTTTCTGAGGTAACTGTTGTTTTCATTCATCTTTAGCTTGCATGTCAGATGCGTGATCAGTTTGTAAAAGATATTTCTAAAAGTAGTATGTTCTGCTTCAAGCATTTAAAATCTTAAATCAGGATGGCTATCATTTTTCTCTTATTGAGCCAGTTTTAAGAAACTGTCTCTAACTATATTAATACTCTCCTACATCTTCCTGCACCGAGTGCTCGAGTACTGTCAGGATGGCTTTGTGACCTTTTTTTTTTTTTTGGCTTTGTGGCTTTTTTTTTTTTTTTTTTTTGTTCAATACTTTTGTTTAATACTGTTTGTTTTGCTTCAATACTGATAATCAATTTCTGCTTTCAAAAAAGGATAAAAACCAGTTAGTTTTGAAAACTGAAATACTCTCCTTGTGGCAAGACTGACAGTCAGTTGAAAGCCATGGTTAATAAGCATGGGATATTCAGAAAATATTGGCAGTAATTTAAGTAGAGTCTATTTATTTATTTGTGAAAAGAGCTAACTAAATCTTTGTCTTTGGATGATGTTTGGAGAATTCAGTGGTTAGATTTGGGTTGCAGTTCTTACTGCTTAGTGTTTAGTTTGTCTCTCCAGTTGTCTATCCAATCTACAAGCATTAAGAATTTTAAATTGATTACTAATAATCCAGTTGAAAATATCTGTGGTTATAGATTCTTGTTCAATCTCGATCAGAATTTGATAAAAGCAGTTACACAAAAGGTGTAATCTCCTCTTCTAGAGGAGGAGAAAATTAAACTATGCAGTGAGTTCCGTGGAATGTTTTGGAAGTGCGTTTGTTTTCCACCCATGACTTTATCTATTCTTTTCCAATAGACTGCCAAGACCTTGAAAAACTGCGAAAGCCTTAAAGCCTGCCATCGCTGCGGCTCACCTGCAAAGTACGACTCCTATCTACACAGAGCCACGTGCAGCCGTGCAAGCTGTGGCTTTGACTTTTGCACAAAGTGCATGTGCAGCTACCACAGCTCCAGTGACTGTATGAGTGGCAAACCATTGAAACCAAGCTCTAAGCTCGGGCCACTTCCCGGGACTAGGAAAAGCAAACAGAACCTACGGCGATTGTGATCCATCCTAATACAGGTTGATAGACAAGCCATAAATGTTCTTTCAGATCTAGAAGATACTCAAGAGGAAAAACAAATATGGCAATGTTTCCTGCTATTTTATATTCAACCTCTGCCCCAGCCTCCCTCCAAAAATAGAAATATAAAAATATCCACTCTATAAAAGAAAACTAGCAGAAGCGGAAAGCATAAATTATAGTTAAAATGTTAGCTCTTGTTCTAAAAGTCTTTAAAAACTTTTATAGTGAAAATTTAAAGTGAAGCAGGTGAGATCCATTTTAACATAAAATTGTGTAGGGACTCTAGATTTTATTATTTTTGAGGCTTTGCCTTAATTTTAAAATGTGAAAGTTCAGAATACTATTTTATCTGATTATTTGCCTTATTTGAATCTTGTTGCTGTGCCTTCATTCTTCCTTCATTAAGAAGCCACTGTGAACTTATTCTTTCCAAGGAAAACAAAAAAAAAAAAGAAAGGATAAGAAAAAGAAGAGAAAAAATACCTTATGGATACTGCCAAAAATACTTAGGCTTGCTATTTTTTTTCTGAATTATATTTTAACTATTTGTATATATCTGTAAATACAACTTTAAATATTTTCACGTTTGTGTTGTAAATGTCAAAATAAATTACTGTTTTCAACAGATTAAGTTCGGACTTTGTTTTTAATTTTAAAAGTTCATTCTTTAAACTTATTTTTCCACTAGGTGAGTCTTAAAAATGTTGACTAACAGAGACTGATTTTGGTTTTTTTGTGTAAATCCATTGTCATGCTGTGACCCTGCAGCTTATCTAAAGGCTCTTAACAGTAAATTTTTATAGCCACTGAACAAGTACATTCGGTGGGAAATTTTTTATGGACTGAATTTATGTTGTTGTACAGCCAAACCACTAACAGTAAATTTCTATGTGGTATTCCCTGGCAAAGCAGGGCACGTTTTCAAGGAAAGTGCGATTGTGTTGTCAAAAATGACTTTTTCTTTTTTTTAAAAAAAGCAATTTTTGTTGCTTGCTTCAGGAGTAAGTAGATAACAGACTGAGAAGGCAGCCTCATAGGTCCTACTTGAGTAGGCCCTGCTTCTGTAAGCTTCTTGGAAAGCAGGATCAAATGCTGCACTACATCTTTTTCTGCACTTGTTAATTTTTAATTCATGACCCTGGTGGTAGAAACATTTGCATAAAAACATATTTAAGTCCACCTAGGGGAAGCACTCACTCAAAACCCAATTGTGAAAGCTAACTTTTCCATCTTGTTGCATATGATTTTATTCATTAGACCTCAGAAATGTCACTAACCTGTCCCATGTTATAGGCCAAAACTGGTGGGCTTTTTTTGAGGATAAAAGTCTTCAGCTGTTGGATATTGCTCTGCAGTACCTTTTGTGAGAAGAAAAATAGTCAGCAGTCAGGGCCACATAGAGCACATGGCCCAGGGTCACATCCAAGTGGGTTTTGAAGATCTTCAGAAAAGGAGACTCCCCAACCTCTCTGGGCAGCCTGTTCCAGGGCTCTGGCACCCTCACAGGAAAGAAGTTCTTAAATAGAGGTGGAACTTCCTGTGATTTAGTTTATACTCATTGCCCCTTGTCGGGTCACTGGCTACCAGTGAGAAGAGGTTGGCCCCATCCTGTTTACATTCTCCCCTCAGGTATTTGTACATGTTGATCAGATCCCCTCTCCGCATTCTCTAGGCTAAACAGGCCCAGCTCATTTAGTCTTTCCTCATAAGATAGATGCTCCAGTCCCTTAATCATCTCTGTGGTTCTATGCTGGACCCTCTCCAGGAGCTCGATGTCCTTGTACTGGGGAGACCAGAACTGCATGCAGTACTCCAGGTATGGCCTCACCAGAGCTGAGTAGAGGGGCAGGATCACCTCCCTCGAGCTGATGGCAGCACTCTTCCTGATGCAGGTCAGAATCCCATTGGCCTTCTTGGCCACGAGGGCACATTGCTGACTCATGGTTAACTTGTCAACCAGGAATCCCAAATCCCTCTCTGTAGAGCTGCTTTCTAGCAGGTCAACTCCTAATGGGTACTGGTGCTTGGGGTTATTTCTTCCCAGGTGCAGGACCCTGCACGTGTCTTTGTTGAACCTTGGGAGGTTCCTCTCTGCCCAACTCTCCATCCTGTCTAGGTCTCTCTGAATGGTAGTGCAGCCCTTGGGAGTGTTGGCCCCTCCTCCCAGCTTGGCATCATCAGCAAACTTGCTGAGGGTGCACTCTGTGCCCTCGTCCAAGTCATTGATGAACAAGGTGAACAGCACTGGGCCCAGTACTGACGGCTGGGCAGCACACTGGTCACAGGCCTCCAACTAGATTCGGCCCCATTTATCACCACCCTTGAATTAAACTTTCTGTGCCTATTTTGGAGAGGCTGAGTGAGCTGGGCCTGTTCATGCTCAAGGATAGAAGACTGAGAAGGGATCTTATCAGTGTATACACATATTTACCTCCTGAGGTGACTTTCTGAAATCAACAGTGTCACAAAATGTCAATATTTTGCAGGTCTTCTCTCTTGCACTTATGTCCTTTTGAAAAAACTTGTTTAGTTACTACCCAAACAGCTTAAAGAGATGCTCATACCTTTTTGAAAAATATTGTAATTTATAACAATCTCAGCTGTCCCACCTTGGCAACCAGAAAAGCTGGGCACAAGTGTCGGATGGTGATGATTAATTTGATGATGTAATCACCTGTAAAAACAAGAGCAGACACAGGTCTGTCAGGTCAGACACAGGCACTCAGCAGTGTAATTTACACTCTAGTGTCTTTTTGTACTGTGAGGGCTAGGAGACGTGCAAGAATCCAATCAGGAAAAAGCAAAATCAAAATCATGCCTTGAGCTATGCAACATATGGCACTTTAGCATAGTACATAATCCGAGTTTTGTTTTATTTTTCTAAAGAGGTTTATATCTGACACATCAGCAAAGAATCAGTATATATCAAGTTATATTGTCACTAGTTGAGGGCTCCATTGCAAAGAATCTATATCCTAAAAAGTCAGAATAGTTTATCTATAACAAGTTTAAAACTTAAGGTTGTCGCAGTTATTACACTTGAAAAATCTCAGACTATTTCATGATAAAAGTATACTGTCTGCTCCGACTGATGCAGTTACAAGAGGAAATTAGATTAAGATTGTAAAAAGATTTTCCTCATCCTCTCAAAAAAATCCACACCTGAAGACCAAGGCCGACACCCACTTTGAGGAAATGATGCTGTACTATAGAGATTAAATATATATGTAATATGTTATGGAAAGGGAAAACCACAAGATGGTGCTCTTGAAACACCTCATGAAGCCAGATTCACTGACTTGCTTTTTTGCTGAGTTCATCGAGAATACATTTCCTCCACTTCCATTGTGTAAGCTTTGAATACAGCTGCCTTTCTGGTTACCATTATCAAGGTAAATTGCTTTAAATCTGTACTTGAAAGAACACAACTCAAGTGTTATATTCAGTCTCTGGTTCTAACATTTGTCCCCATAATATCTGTGTAGAATACGTAATTGTTCACTGCGCTTGATAAAATTTGACACACTCGATGAAACTTACCCCTGCAGTGACAAGTGGAGAGTGGGGCTGTGACTCCAGGGCTGCTGCAGAGTACGGATTTAGTTCGAAGCAAGCCCCTTTGGAGTGGACCTTTGCCTTGACGTGTGTTTCTGATTCCCTTGCTTACCTTCAAAGAACATGCACGTGACTGCTATGGAGTAAACTGGCTCCATCGGCTGACAGAAGCTGAAGGTGCGGGATTGCAAAATATCTAAAAGGCTTAGCAAGAATACACAAGGCAGCTTCTTTCCTCACTGTCTCTGTTGAGACAGGAGGTAACTGGTGTCTTTTGATCTGAAATTCCATGAAATGACTGCAGGAATTGGCAGTTTCTGCAATACACACACAGTTCTGAATTCCCATGACAGACAAGATTATCTCTCTAATACATTTAAAATTTGGCATATAAAATGAGGAATTAAAGAGGTGACAGTTCTCTGGAACGGGAGTCTTCTACCTGAGGATGAACAAATCAGCATGACGGGCCCACTGCATTTTAATGTTACCTTGGTGCAGTTGTTTATTCTCTGGAAGGAATAGGAGAGAGAGAAAAGAACATGGTGCTGATTTTCCTAATATAAAAGCAAGGGTCTACTTGAACTTGCAAGCACATACAGAACTAGTCAAAGGTTCAAATAAAGCAACACTCATTTTTGTAGATTATAATAGCCATTGGGATGGCTCACAGCTGAGGGTTTGCCCCTTAAAGTTTAGCATTGTTCCGCTTCTTACATTCAGTCCTGCACACAGAGTACTTCAGCACAGCACTCCAGCAAGCTGTGCCCTGTGGAGATATTTTAAGACTTTAAGATGCAAAATAAATAAATAAATAAATAAATAAATAAATAAAAGGACCCACATTTGTCAACTACTCTGTAGATGTTGATTTGAGGCAGGGAGGACAAGTGGCAGAGCGGTGCCCTTCGCAGCCCATGGCCAGCTGCAGCAGAGGGGCCAGCCCCATGGCCCTGAGGGGTCCTGAAAGGGCTATCAGGCCCCACAGCTGTGGGGTGAAAGAACCCCCACGTTCCTCCGTCTCCCAGTTACCCGTCTTCTTACTTGATGATCTTGGACTTGGTGATCTTGATGGTCTTTTCCATCCATAATGATTCTATGATTTGGGAAGTCTCCTCACGCAGACTGCAGGGCTGGGCAAGGTGGTGGAGCTGTACTAAGGTCTGTCAGTAACACAATAGGCTGGCGGTGGTTTTGATGGCTGAAAAGCAAAAGTCATTTGGCAGCATTTGATGCTACCTTGTAGCCCGGCCAGGGTGGTACTTATAGACTCTGGTGTTGCTATAATATCCTGGTCACTCAGACTTTCCCAGCCAAAGCAGGATCCATTGCCAAGAGCATTGCAAATGTCAAAACTGTCTCTGATCAAAAGTACTTGCAGTGTTTGGACATAGGTCAGACCGTCCGCAGCTTCTGCAGGCATTAACTGTGCACATGCTACAATGTATCTGAACCATGAGAGGCACAGAGTCACACAGGGAAGTCACCGGC